GGCTTCCGATCGGCAGGTGAGATTTGGGCCCTGGCTCGGAAAACACCCATTCTGATGGGGGAGGCAGGACACGAACTGGAGAACACTGGCAGAGACAACCCCAGCTGGGCAGAGCTGGGTCATCCCTGCTTCAGGAGGGGCTCAGGGAGAGAGTTCCCAGAGGAGGGGAGAGTGGAGCAGGCTCAGAAGGGGCAGGGCTGGGGTGTTTAAGACTGAGGGAAGTAGGAGGCTGGCATGGGGTCTGCCCAGTCTGAAGAGGATGAGCAACAGTGGGTGCGTTTCCCCTGCCCGGGGAGCCAGCTGTAGGGTTGACCTCTTGCTCCCAGCATCGTGGGAGTGCTAGAGGCAAGGAAAGAGAACCTCAAAGCCTGCCCCCCCCCACGGGAACCACCTCCCGCCCTTGTTATTTCTGGCTCCATTTTCTTGGTCAAGAAGGGTGTCAGTGGTAATGCAAATTAGGAGGTGTCAGAGGTGCTGGCCGACACCCATCCTGTCCCCCCAGCCTCTCCCCCCCCTTCCCCGATGCCCACGCTCACACAGCGGACTGGAACCTCTGTGAGACATGCCCGGAGACCTGGCCCTTGACTAACTGGCATGGAGAGTGGGTTGGGGCTGGGTTCTCAGGGGCATCTGCTCTGCAAGGACAGGGCAGGCACCGAGAGGGCTGGCACCCAGATCCTGCCCATCCCAGCCCCTTCCTGCCCTCCTTAGGCCATTGACAGACCACAGGGCATCCGCACAGTGAGTGCTGCAAACCTGGGCCCCAGGGATAGGCAAGGACTGGGTCAGCTCTCTGCATTTGGGGGTTAGACCTCAAAAGGCACCTGGGCACCTGAGGGAGCAGTCCTGAATACCAGAAGTTTCTCTGGAGTGGCAATAGAGAAATTAGGAAATAGGGGCCAGGTGCTAGCGAAATTCATTTCATCCATTTTCCCCGCATTACCTCCCCCGCCCCAGATGCCCTGTTGCACGCACCCTTTGAGAGGACTCCCTGGTCAAGTCTGACCTCATGATGACCTGGATCCTTCCTGCAGTCACCAAACTTGCTCTGTTCTCTTCCTTGTTGCTCCCCTGCCCTATACAGATGTCACTGAGTGAATTCCTTCCCCCCACCCCCTTCTTCATTAGCCCTAATCAGCTGGGTGAGGTGTTTCTCATTAACACAGCTGACTCACCCACACACCTCTCCCCTTTGTTAGCGATCAGCTTCCCCCCGACATACACGCACACACACACACACACACACACACACACACACACCACTAGTTTCTGGAGGGAGCTGTGGCTCTCCTGGGATGATAACCTGACACGGCCCGCACAGGGCCTCAGGACAGGGGCAAGGTCTCCATGGCCTGGTGGCTCTGGCTGGGGAAATCGGAGGGCTGGAGAGAGTGTTAGACACTGGCCTTTCATTTGGCACGTGGAGATTGGCCTGTGGTCTCTGTGAAGTCACTTCCCTGAGACCCGCTATGTCTGACTCTAGAGAGTCTCCCAGGTGTCTTCCAGCCAGGACAGAAGTCATCCCTTCACCAGGCTCCTGAGGAAGCGCCCTCACCCTTTCCCCCCATGCCAGGAGTCTAAGAATGTAGACCCTCAGTGTCCCCATTCTTGCCGGAGTGCCCCTCTCTCGTCTCCATAAAGCAATGAGAAGCAGGGCTCTTAAGTCTGATCTGAGTCTTGCTTCAGAAAGGAGGGAGAGGGATGAGGGCTGGCAGGGCTCCCCAGCCTCCCTGCAGCCGTCCCCCCATGTGGAAGGATGTTACATAGAAGGCAGCGGCTCTGGGGGACAGGGCTGGGGGCATGCCAGTTTTTCCTCCCTTCCCCGTCTTCCCTCCCAGCCCCCAGCAACTTCCCACCCTGCACCTGAGCCCTTTCCCAGGTCCCTAGAAATCAAGGAGACAAGCTGCCAGAATCTGCACCCTCTGTCCCCAACCTCCCCTCTCCCTGGTGACAGGAGGAACGTCCAGGTTGCAGATACCTGGGGTTCCCTCCCACCTTCGGTCACACTCAACAACCAGAAGTGGCTGCCCAGGTCCTGCCTCCTCCCTCTGTGTCAGCTCATCCCAGCTCATCCTCTGCCCCTTTTCTGAACAGCCAGTTTCTCTTCGCCTGTGCGTCCCTCTACGGCCCCTTATTCATTCACACCTGCCTAGCAAGTGCTCCCAGAGATCCCAACGGAACCCACAAACTGAGCCACAAACTCAGCCGCTGCTCCCTCCATGGCAGTTGACTAAGGTGGAGAAACAGCAGGGAGTACTAAGTGCTCAGGAGCAGAGGTTCCAGAACCCTCTTTCCCAGGGCTTGTTTCGCCATGTCAGGGAGGTGGCCCCAGACGGAATCTGGCATGGATGAACTTTCAGATGATAGCAGTCACTGTTAGCAGCAACAGATGAGCTGGGGAGGCTGGAGTGTCCCTAAAAGGGTCTAGACCTTGGCACCAAATAGGTCGGGACACTTGTCCTGGGTCTAGAACTGAGGCTCAGGCCTTCAATAGCAATTTTCCCCACCTCTTTCTTGCCAAAAAGGGCCCCGTGGAAATGAAAGGTACCCAGAGACAAGGAATGAAACAGCTTGGGCCATTTTTGCAAGCAGAGGGCACAGCCCCATCTGGGCAGAAGTCACAGGTTCATGACCCAGCTCTGACCTCTCAGGCTGTGGACTGTTAAGGCAGCGGATGAGCTTGGAACCCCCTCCCATCCTTAGACCTGAGGACACGGGACACAGTATGTTCTTCCTCACTGAGGCTCCAGGTTCCCAGAAAGCAGAAGTCATTTGACAAGAGGTAGCTGCTACTGATAAATGAACCCCAAAGCTTTAGAACCTCCACTGGCCAGAACTGTGGGGAGGGGAAATCCAAGGGCCCCCAATACCTGCCCAGGGCTGGGGTGGCTGCTTTGTCTGTTCCTAATAAACATGCCACATGTCACTGTGGCCACATGCATGAAGGCATCCTCAGAACCTCCTTGACAGTGGGGGTCCCAGGAGTCCCATACCTGCCCATGCCCACCCTCCCAGGGTGCGGGCCCTTGGGCACAGTGCCTAATTCCCACCGATTCCCAGACCTCCTGCTGCCAAGGTTTGGGCCTCACCCATCCACAGAGCGCACAGTCTGAGCGCAGATGGAACAGGTACGTTTTATTCAGACTTTCAACTTGTTCAGAGAGCACAGGGGCCCGTCTCCCCCTCTCCGGGCCCCTCCCCCTTCCCCCTTGCTGGGGGAATGCTCAGGGTACAATGATGTGTCTCTGGGGTCCTTGGCCCTTCCCTGCCGACACAGCCCTTCACTCCCCTGCACTGAGGAGGGGAGGGGTGTGAGGAGGTGGGGGGCCTGGAAGAGTTGGATCAGACGGGACATGCGCTGACGGTAGCGTCCACTGCCACCCCCTGGGGCTGAGACCCTTGGGAGAGGCTCGCAGTGGAGGGGGTGGATTCATTGTGGGGCGGCAGGCTCTTGCCATAGGAGGCTCCCCACCTCAGCCTTGGGGACCCCCTGGCCTCCTGCTTACCCGTCCTTCTGAGGGTACGACTCTGAGGTAGATTTCACAGAGGGAATGTGGGTTCGTGGGGTGTGGGAAGGGGGTTAGCTCTTTTGAGTTGATCTCCACAGCACCCTGGCCCATTCCAGGTTCTGGCCTGGGAGGCAAGGGCTGATGACACCCGCCTGGCCAGCAGAGGCTGAATCGCACATGGGCTCCAGGGCACCTATGGCTCCAGGGGCTCAGGTGGGATTTGTGGGGGCATCTGCCTTGATGATCTGGGCTTTGGTGCCAGGGGCTCTGGGAGGGTGTGGCCTAGGAGGCTGCCACAGTCCCCTGGCCTGAGGGTCACAGCACAGGGAACCGCGCCCCTCCGGGCAGCCCCATTAGGCTGGACCCTTCCCAGCCTGCCAGGGTTCTCCCTCTCTCCTCTCACCGCCCCTACACCCCAGAGTGAGTAGAGGGAGTGGACAGGGCTGGCCTGCAGGGGAAGGCAAGACACAAAATGCCTCCTTCCTCCAGTGGGGCCCACGCCCCAAGCCCAAGCTGGCCATGGGATGGGGAACCTGGCATCAGTGTGCAGGGCAGGCTCCAGGGGGGAAGTGCCTCCCAGACAGAGCACAGCCTAGGAAAGACGGACACCTTGGAGGGGCTGGAGGCGTTTCTGGAGTCCTCTGACACCCCCCTCCCCCAGGCCCAAGCACTAGACACCTTCTTGGATCCAACCCTGTTTAAGAACAGAAAGGCAGAGGGAGAGGCCCGTGAGGGGAAGTCCCCTCCCCTTCCCAGCCCAGATTCCCACCTCCCAGAGGCAGCCAGGAAGGTAGGGGAGCCTAGGCTGACCTTCCCGGAAGAGCCAGGGCTGAGTGGTGCCTGGACCAGGGCAGATGGCACGCACATTGACTCGTAGCTAGTGGAGGTATCTGGGGGTCGCAAGGGGCAGGGCCCCCCACGAGATTCATGCAGCATTCAAAGTGAGTGAGTGTGTGGAGGTGATGGGAGAGGGTGGAGAAACAGCCAGTGGGAGGGGGCGGCGCCTTAGATCTTGCTGTTCTCCAGGTGGGAGTCGATGTGTTTGATGAGGGCGTCATCCGGGTACCCGACCGGGAAGCCCAGCTGGCAGAGGGGGCAGCTGCGGATGTCAGAACCCACCGTCTCCATCAGCAGCTGTGGGGAGAGAAGGGAGTTGGTCATGGTCCCCAGCCACCACAACCCCCCCACCCCCAACAAAGAGGTCAGCAACCTGCCCCTAGCTCTGGTCCACTCCCCTGCCTCAGGGCATAGGGACCCTGGGACGTGGGCATGACTGTCACGGGAAGCTGAGACCCAGACATGCCCCAGAGTGACTAAGGCACAGCTCCCGGCTAACTCAAAGCGACGGATAATCCCAAACAATGTACAAACCAAAAATAATTTTCTGCCTGGCTTTGGAATAGATTTTGGTCCTGCCGGGTGACAAGGGGTAGCTCTGACACTGAGGAAACTCGGTATTGCAGTGAAATGATGGAGACCTGAGATAGGGCTATCTGCTAGGACAGAGGAAAGAACAGGACTCTAGGGAAAGCAGTTCTGTTCCTGTGTGGGCCCATGACCCGGAGACTCAGTATCACCACTGTCACCAACAAAATAAGGGTGTTTGAGCCAGGCTTGGGAAAGACTGCTTGAGGTTCACTGCCTCCCTCTTAGGAACCCCGGGGGCACTAGATAATAGAATCATTGCCCCCACTTTGTGGGTGAGCAAACTGCGGCTCAGAGGCGCACTTGCAGGAGGCCCCACGGCTACAAAGCAGTAGAGTCTGGAATCAAAGCCTGGACTGTCACTCTGAAGACCACACAGACCCCAATTCCTGCCACCCAAAGACCCCAGCGAGAGCGGGAAAGGGACCCATACTTTGATCCAGGGTCCAAGGAGGGGGGACTGCCTATCAGGAGCGACTGGTGTGAGTGCTGACACCCAAGAGGGGTGAAGGTCCCCACTCACGTTGATGGACGGCCAGGACTGCGCGTGCTCAGCGTGGGCGTAGGCGGTGGCTGCGGGCGACTCGGGGATGGGGAAGCCGGCACAGAAGGAGGCGCAGCGGATGGTGCCCGCCTCCGGGCTGGGCGGGCTGGCGGGCACGGCCCACTCGTCCTCCTCCGACGGCTGCTTCTCAAAGCGCAGCCGCAGGCCCTCGAAGGCGCGCCGCGGGCTGAGGGGCCTGCCGGGGCCGTAGAGCTCGCCGCCATAGGCCCGGGGCTTGGGGAGCGTGGCCGCCTCGGCCTGCAGCCAGGGCGGGGAGGCACCCGCGTAGGCCGCGGCCTCAGCCAGCTCGGAGTAGCTGCGGCGGGCCCGGGGAG